AGTACTTGGTCAAATGGAAGGGCTGGCCGCATAGCGAGAACACCTGGGAACCATCACGTCACCTTACCCACGCGAAGAAGGTCCTGAGAGATTGGCAGAGGAAACAATCCAACCCAGACACACGCATTCGCCTCCTGCCAACTCTCGAAGCCGGACATTGGGATTACCTCATCCATCGCTACAAACCCAAAGACGAGCGCCTTCCATACCCCCAGCGACAACTCTTCGATCCATACGAAAACGTCTTCACGCCCATTGGCCTAGTCGATGAGGACATCGACCCTAGAGAGGGGGTAATGTCATAATTCGACTCTTTTTCATCTTATCATCGACGATCTTATCTTATCTTGGCACGACTTATCTTATCACGGATCACGGCATCAGACGGTCCGGGCTAGGGGTTCCAGGGGTTATCTCTATTGATTCGAGGCTGCGCGACATATGCTCCGGAAGGTTCTACTACAACCCATGACCAGTGCTCCATGCGGTACATAGCCCTATGACTCATTAGTTGTAGATATGACTCAGACTGGATTTGGGTATAAATACTGTAGCTACTTGGTTGTATTCTCCAGTCTTCGAATTCACTTCTCTTTTCGACTTTGTTTTTGGGTTGATTGTCACATACACCTTGCAGTCCACTGCTTTAGAACCGGGTTTGAGCTCAATCGCATGATCCCAGGTTCGTCGGTCCAGTAGTGAGTCGAATGATTCTTTGGCAAATACTTTGACAAATTCCCGGTATTGATCCGGAATTTTTCCTTCGGTCATCCTCTCCTTCTCTTTTTCCGCTTCTTCTGCGAATTTCTGCGCCGGTGTTTCCTTCAGCCGTAGATCTACCTCCTTTCCAAAGTCGATCAGCAGGATCGATTCTCCCTCTTCCAGATCCGGTGCGCTCGTGTCCAGGTCGATTGCATCCATGTCAATCATCGCTTGGTGTTCCTCGTGACCCCTCATGTGACACCGTTCTGGGCATCGGCTGAATCTCATCGTTTGCTCCTGCCAATCCACTTCCGGGTTGTGTTCCGTCAGCCAGTCAAGACCAATGAAGATGCGGGCCTTCCCTAAGCACGTCAGAAGGAACGTGCGTGTCTCCACGTGAGGACCGATTCTCATCCTTAGGTCAACGTAATGCGTGATCCGGCCGCTGATGTTTTCGGTGTTGTCGGCGTTACGAGCCACAATGGGTTGGGGAAGTTCTTGGATATCCAGCTTCTCTGCCCGCGCGTAGTCGGTATCGATGCAGCAGGTGCTACAGCCACTGTCGAGTAGCGCCTTAACTCCGCGCGTCTTTCCTGAGTCCAGGCCTGTGATCTGGACATACACGTCCATCGAATGTCTCTTCCTTTCGGCCTGGTAGTTGCGCAATTCCTGCGCCAGTCTGCTGGGCTGGGGGCCCTTCTGTTTCTCGGCCGCCAATTTCCTTTGAACGGCATCTGGCACCCTTGTGCGTTTGGGTACTTCTGGAACCTTGATTTCGGCAGATTCCTTGGGCGCTTCCTCCTTTTTCAAGGATTGAGCCTCCGGAGCGATGCTCCCCTTTTCGGTCTTTGTTGACGTGGTTCCTTCTCCACAAGCCATAAATACGTAGGAGTCCAAAATTAATTTATCCGCAGCTTTCTGATCCTTTTTACTTTGTAAATACTCTCTATTTAAAACTATTTTTCTTTGTCGTTCCTTTTCCATATCAGCAATGAGAAAATCATGAATATTGGTACGTAATGAGTCCGAGATTGTATATGTATGTGCAGAATCGTTCATGTCTTTAATTGAAACAAGTACAGAAAAACGTCCATAGTCCGGACGCTCCACCTCCTTGGCTAGAGGAGTGGAGCGCTTCAAAAACCCTTCTCGCGCAGCTTCTCGGCGATCTCCTTCAGGAACTCATTGTCCTTGTCCCCGTTCTCGATCTCTTCTAGCATTGTGGCCCGATTAAAGAACGTGCGCTTCTTCTTGGGCTCAGGGCAGTTCCGCGCAATGTGCCCAGGCTGCTGACAGTTGTAGCAGATGATATTGCGGCCACGGGCGTGGGTGCGATCGATCTCCATTGGAACCGGCTCATTGGCCGCTGGTCGGGCCGGAGCGGGTGCAGGTGCTGATGGTGCGGCCTGAGGGCGGAATTGGGGTGGGGGTCGCGGAGTTGAGTGCGCATAGGATGCCTTACGCAGCTGATCGCGCAAGGCATTGGCCTCGATGTTGACGCACCAGTTCTTGAAGGCACCATATGCCTTGGGCAGGGGGACGCCGGTGTTGTAGAGGCGGCTTGCAATTTCGCTGCTGAGTCCGCGCTCGAGGAACTCGATGAGGATGTTGTCCTGATCCCCCTTCTTGTACTCGCCCTTGTCATCGGTTGAGGCGACCACGTTGTACCCCGCGTCCGCAGCCAGCATTTCGAAGTCAGAGATGTAGTCCGCGAAGGACCGTCTCCCTTGGCGAAGGGCCATGAGTCGGGCAGCGGCGACTTGTTCTGCGTTAGAATCCCCAAAGGCTTTTTGGAACTCCTCCAAGAAGGTTGTCGCGGTGACTCCCGCCTTCATTCCTTGGAAACCCTCGAAATTGTGCTGCTTCCAGTTCATCGCCCATCTCGAGGCGGCGCAGCTTGTGCCGGTCTCATTACGGAGGTAGGACAGAACAAAGAGGATTTTTGTCTCATCCAGCGAGAACTCCGATCGATAGGCACCGATGTACGTGGTGCACGCATCCACAAAGCCCAGGTATTTGGACTTGTCGTCATTGAAGTAGGGGGGGTTGGCGGCGAGGGTGATGCGGTGATGTCCTGACATGGTAGGAGCAGGCGTGTGAGGTGGGGGCGAGGGTGGTTGTTCGGAGGGCAGTTCGTCGAGGTCGGGGATCTCGTCTTCAGGCGGTGGGAGGGCGAGGTAGGGGTTGGAGGGCCCGGGTTGGTTTTGATGCGCTAGATCGGGCGACGATGGTATGATGGGAGGAGGGGATGGACTCCCAGATGACGATGGGAATCGGTACGAAATGGTGGATTCGTGTGCTGTACAGGCACTCGAGGAAAGGTTCTTTTGCTAGCAAAAAGATCCCGGGCCTAGCTCTTCACGTGCCCGATGATCCCAAGGTGCGTTTTCCCGAAGGTCTCCGCAGCACTCCTTGTAGCTACCGTAAGGCTTGGGTCGGGCTCAACGTTACCCGTGGCCTGGTGCTGTTTGCTCGATATGAACCTTTCACTGCGATCGCAGCGAGCGACTAGATGATTCGGTAAAAGGGTGAGTGGGGTGATAAGGGTGAAGAGGATATAGCGGGCGTAGCGGTGCACGGAGCAGGGTAAGAGGTAAGAGGTACGAGGGTATGAGGGGAGTCTTTGAATTATGTGACAATCAACCCAAAAACAAAGTCGAAAAGAGAAGTGAATTCAAAGACTGGAGAATACAACCAAATAGCTACAGTATTTATACCCAAATCCAGTCTGAGTCATATCTACAACTAATGAGTCATAGGGCTATGTACCGCATGGAGCACTGGTCATGGGTTGTAGTAGAACCTTCCGGAGCATATGTCGCGCAGCCTCGAATCGATAAGGATAATCCCCTGGAACCCCTAGCCCGGACCGTCAGATGCCGTGATCCGCGATAAGATAATCCGTGTCGAGATAAGATAAGATCGTTGAGGATAAGATGAAAAAGAGTCGAATTATGACAATTAGCCCGTTCATTGACTCGATTAACTGGGCTATATTTGAATCAGGTTCTTGTTTGACTGCCACGGGTTTCGGCGATGCCGTGTTTGAGATGGCTGATCCATGCGAGGAGTCTGCGAGGACGAACTCCATGGCTTCGTTCATGTCTGTGAGGTCGTAGGGGTCGTCTGGGTGCATGTCAGGCTTCTTGATTTGTAGTCGCTGGTGGACTCGGCTCCAAAGGCTCGGCGGCGAGATTGCTCGACGAAAGGCTCGAGATTGTTCTGCGGTGGATAGTCGGGCCTTGTCCACGAGGAATTTGGTAATGACCAAAAACTTCCGATAGAATTCGCTGTAGTCGGAACGAGACAAGATCCCGACACTTGCGTATTCCCCAATAAGGGTGTGTAGATCTGAAAGCGTGTACCGGCAATCGGCATCCGTGCCTGGGTAAAGTTTCAAGACGTCAGCTTTGAACGATGCGTAGGAGTGGGGCGCAAGGAAAGAGTCCAGCGACTCCCAAATCTCCTGGTCGTCCACTGAAAGGTAGCGTGTCGCGTGAGTCTTCTTTTCTTGTTCTGCCGTGACGCCTGCCAGAGAGAAATGAAACTCCAGGTCGGTGAAGAAACGCAGCAGCTGTCGTGGCTGCTTAGCGTCGAACTCGGGGGCGCCTCGGGCGCCCCGTGCTGGCATATTGGTGTTGGTAGCCATTGGTGCGTTTATCAGAGGCGGTGTGACGGGTCGGAGACGAAACGGATCAGGGCTCGATGAGGTCGACGGTGTAGACTGAGGCGAATGGGATGATCTCGAAGAGAACGATGGCGTGATGCGAAATCGGGCAAGCGTCGGTGAATCTGGATCAACTAGATCCAGGTGGTGATGATGCGAAAGGTGATGAGGTACCGGGACCAGTAGATCGTCTGAAGACGAATCGCTGTGTCTCGAGGTGTCGGTGAGATCGAGAGGATTCTGCGCGAGGGCACGGAACTCGAGTCGAAGATTCCGGCGAGCGTTAGGTCGAAGTCTGCGAGGTGAGTCTGACGCAATGATGGACAGAAAAACCCCCTCGCGGTGGGCTCCAAAATGACACGCCTACGGTGCTCCTAGGCTCAGAACAAGGTGGGAGGGACAGCGTAGATACCGTCGATGAGCTTCTTGATCACCCGGGACGGTGGCCGTAGAGATAGCGGTGAATTCGAGGGGTTTTGGTTGGGCTGAGTCAGACTCGATGTGCAAAATCGCAGAGGAATAGCAGCGGCTTGGGATGAGAATAGGCGGCGACGGGAGTGAAACGACGACGTAGGGGGGGAATAAAATACAAATCTTTGGAGGTGAAGGCTCCTGAAGACTCTGTGAGAAGTGGGGTAAAATCAACCTGCATTTTATGGACGGTTACATGTGTATTTATACTGTAGGTAGATGAATAGAGTTCAATTTTGGTTAGCTAGAAGAAATAAAAGGAACATGAGACCTATAATATAACGGAATGTGAAACTGGGGAATCTGTATTCTGAGAGAAATCCTGGACCGGTCTCGTCCCTCTGGAACTGCCTGGGCCCTTCCAGGAATTCAGTCCTAGTCTGGGGACCATTTCTGTGGCGGTCTTGCATCGTAGCGCCGCGTTTGACGAGTGTTTGAAACCGGGATTGTGGATCGTTATGAGAGACCGAATATTGAGTATTGATGGGTGATGGGAGCATCGGCACGTGGAATGACGTGGTAAGCTGCATGAAGCACAGCTTATGATGGATGATGGGAGCATCGCCACTGATGCTGAACGGCACGTGGAATGACGTGGTAAGCTGCATGAAGCACAGCTTGTGATGTGACCGCTGTTATATCAATCAGCGCCGGTCTGGTTACACAGTCAAAGCGACCCCGGGCTCGTCAGCGGATCGTCCCGCGGAGGTTCAGCCGAGAATAGCTGACCGATTTCTACCTCGGTGGGATGCTTGGCTGTGTCCGTCCATTTGAGCATGAGTAATATATTGTTTGAGATGCGCCGAGCATCCATGAGGCTAACACGCTGAGTTCGTGAGTCTCACAACCTGTGCATGTGCGTATGTACTTACCGCGTGCCGCAGTATCGAAGGATCTTTGAGATATGGCACAGTGTTCGACGGTGGGACGTGGTCAGGATGGAAGTGCTCTCGGAGCCTGTATCCGGCGGATTCAAAGAAGTGATAACGTTCAACCCAATACGCATCCCAGATGTTGCTCATTGCGAGACCGGCTGTGGCAATTCATGAACGAGCATGTAGGTGACTATAAAAGCTTACTTTGGCTCTGCTTGGATTCCACGTGGATTCGTCGAGGATTCCGATCGCAATCAGCTGACAGGTTGCTGCAAATCACAACCAAGAGAGCACACAAGTTTTCGAAAACTGAAAGAGCAAAGGAATTATCTCAAGCCTTCGGGAATCTCGCTCTAGCTGTCACTCCCATCGCGGAGGTGCGGACATGACATTCGTGCATGACCTGAAAGACATTACAGAACCGTTTTGCAGAGCTCTTCAGAAACCCAACTTGAATCCAACGAAATGAATATGGTTTCCCGTGAGCGATGAGGCTCCTTTAGTTACCCGCTTCTGATTTGGCGGCTACAGAACTTGGCTAAGAACTGCAACGAGAAGTCACAGGCTACAGCAGGGCGCACCTATGCCGTGGCTTCGATAGTTCTGCAGATTACATTCGTACGCGATTTTCCTCTCCTTGTCGGTGCGTACTTGCTTATTTACATTACATTACATCAGTATTCAAGATGGAGCTTCATGCCCTTTTCTTCGAACTCCTTCAGCATAGCCCGGAGCTGCTTGACCCATCGTCTCCCGGGACACGAGCCAGTGTACACATAAAGATGCTGCAGAGACGAGCTTGTGCTCCCCGAACGCGACTGCAACAGGCGCTCGAGCGACTCCAGTCTGAAGCCACAGTCCAGACGGAGCGTGCGCAGCAGCCGCACAGTCGGTACGCCAGTTTCATCCTCGGAGCTGGGGCTGCTGCTGACACACAGCGCGTTCATCAGCGCATCGTCCGTGTGTCCCTTGCGCGAGACGCTCAAGCTTTGCAGCTTCGGTGCACAGCGGATGACCTCGAGCACGTGCTGGACCGACACATGCCCCGGCAGCGCGAGCTGCAGCGTGTCGATCCCGGGAGACCGGCCCAGGCATGCCGTGATCTGCTCGGTGCGCCAGAAGACGCGCGTGAACGTGAGCGAAAGCGAGGCGAGAGCGGGGAACGCAAATGGGGCGAGGAAGGCGCCGAGATGCGTCGTGTCTCGGCTCTCCTTCGGGATCTGACAATTCACCTCCAGGTTCTGCAGGAAGGGGAGAGTCTGGATGCTCGCGGCCCCGACTGTGGAAGCGCCAGCGGGGTACGATTTCGAGAAAATCTGGGCCGTGACGAGATTCGTGCACAACTGCAGAATGGAGCTGCAAACATCCAGCGAAGATTCGTGCAGAGAGAGTGTCGTGAGGCGGCTCCATGGAAGGAGCACGGAGGTCATATCCAGCGTATTCCGTAGTTGCAGCCGGACCATTCGCAGGCGCGAACATCCCAAGAACTGGTCGATGGGGTCTTGCTGCTTTGCCAAACCGCTGAGATGCAGGCTCTCGAGGCCTGGGAACGACTTGCGCGCCAACGATCCGAGGTCCGGTGCCGTGAGAGACAGCGCCCTCCACCTCTCCGTCGTCGGCAGCACGGCCTCTTCGATTCGGTCCCGCAGCGCAGCGACGAGGTCGGAGTCCGCACCCTCCGCGTGCTTCAGGGCCACGACGATCGACAGCGGCTCGCTCCTCGTCAGCGCCGCGCCGAGCTGCGCCAGATGCCTCGGCGACAGCTCCTCCGTCCCCAGGCGCACGTAGATCGGGGCCTTGTTCCACAGCTTCGGCGTCCCGTACGCGATCCGCCGCCAGTGCGCGCACACCTGGCCCAGCTTGTGCGCCTGGCTCGATGGGCGCACGGAGCAGTCCGTCTCGAGGAAGCCGTGCCGCACGACGCCCTCGATGACGACGAGCTCGAAGATCTCGGCTAGCAGCTCGATGGGGAGCGCGGCGATGCTGGTCTGCGGCGGGAAAAGTCGAGAGCTGGGCGTGGAGGTCGGAGCCCCCGTCTCGTCTTCGGCGCGTTTTTCTTGGAATATGCTGCACTCGTCGCACCTCATTTGCGAGGGGCGTGGATGTTGGCGGGAGATAGCGAGATGATTTGGCCTAGATTTTCATGATGGTCGTTCCCCGACTTTGTTGCCATGCGTCGGCGAGTGGCGGGCCGAGCACGTGCGGCTGGCAAATTGTGACACTTCGCGAGCGTGACATCGAGCAGTGCGGCCTCGCAAGTCAAGTATGAGATGTTCGGCCTGGAGCTTTGGAACGTGACTCATACAACTCTGGAATACAAGGCAACGGCATTAAATATACTACTGATCTGCGTCAAAAAGCGAACCTGATCGTCTTGGAATGCTTCCTGGTTGGTTTCAGGGACGATTCGCAAGTGCTGCTCTTGTGGACATGTGAAAAGAAGAAAAGCGCTTCATTTCATGCGTTTTCCATACATGTGCTCTTTTTTCTTCGACCGGGCTTGTAGCACAGGTGCTATGTAAAAGTCCGGCAGAAACTATGTGCAGGCGTGACCGCGTAGAGACAGCTAGAAACGATTTTCATAATCACGAGGTCATTTGATCAGTTTTCGACAACCTCGACCCCAGCGCAGAACCATTCTGCAGCCCTTTCACGCCGCAGATAGCCAGTCTCTTTACCCACACTGCCTGAACCTGAAAACCATTCTACCCGCACCCAAATGCCATCAACTCCCATTTCAGCAAGCTAAAATGTCGGCAAGATCGCACGTCACCCTCACGTTAACATTACCAGAGGCCGCCGTCTGCCACCGGGATTCCACCGCATGAGCACCAATGGTTGAAGGCCAAACAGCACGATACCCATCACAAGATCGGACGGCCAATTCAAGGAAAAACGCTGCCATGGTCAGCCGCTCTCCTCGGGTAAACGTCGGGCCACAGCGCTTGCTGGGCTTCGCGTCATCCCCGCATGCGGAGAAAGTGCTTCCGCACAGAGACGACCACTGGACCCGGGGGTGACTGTATGGACGGAGCGGGGCCTTTTGCAGTAGCTCCGAAGTGTGTCTCCGTGCGGCGACATTGTCGAGATGACCCTTCCTCGGAATCTCCTGCCAGCGATTATATATATAAGGGTGGAGGACGGGGGCTCCGCTTCTTCACCGTGCTTGGGTCCCTTGCTCCTCCTCGACCAAGATGTTCACTGCTCTCTTCGCACTCGCGGCAATCTTGCCCGCATTCGTCAAAGCACAGAGCCCTATTTACGGGCAGTGTGGAGGACAGAACTGGGGTGCGGCTTCTCTTCCTTGTGCTAGCGATCGCCGCTCACACTTCCTTCTCAGCGGGTCCTTTCACCTGTGTCGCGGGGTCTACCTGCGTGGTCAACAATGCTTACTACTCGCAATGCCTGTGCGTGGATTCAATGAGTAGAGGATATCGGGGCTGACCATCATCTTTGCAGCCCGAGCACTGGCAACGGAGGCGGATCGCCGACCACGCCTGTTTCGACCCAGCCCGCAACGAGCACAACGACCTCGGCTGCTGCCAGCCAGACACCCGCTGCCGGAAACCCATACGCTGGGCACAGCGTGTGGTTGCCTACGTTCTACGCGTCGGAGGTGCAAGCCGCCGCGGCGAACATCAGCGACGCGACCCTCAAGGCCAAGGCGCTCTCGGTCGCCAAGATCCCGACCTTCACGTGGTTGGACACCGTGTCCAAGGTCCCCCAGCTTGCGACATACCTGTCCGCCGCGAGCGCACAGGGAAAATCCTCGGGCACGCCGAGCATCGTGCAGATCGTCGTGTACGACCTGCCCGACCGGGACTGCGCGGCGGCCGCCTCGAACGGCGAGTTCAGCATCGCGAACGGCGGCCAGGCCAACTACTTCAACTACATCGATCAGATCGTTGCCCAGATCAAGAGTGCGTGTGACCCTGCCCGCTCGCGTGATTGGGGATGGCTGACATGCAGAACAGAGTTCCCTGATGTGCGCGTTGTGGCTGTCATCGAGCCGGACAGTCTTGCGAACCTCGTGACCAACCTGAACGTCGCCAAGTGCTCCAATGCGCAGACGACCTACCTGGCCTGCGTGACCTACGCGATCCAGCAGCTCAACACGCTCGGCAACGTCTACTCGTACCTCGATGCTGGCCACGCGGGCTGGCTCGGCTGGCCCGCGAACCTGGGCCCCGCCGCGCAGCTCTTCTCGTCGCTGTACAAAAACGCCGGCTCGCCCAGCATGGTGCGTGGGCTCGCCACCAACGTCGCCAACTTCAACGCTGTGCGTGCCCCCTCTTGCGTAGTATCGTGTCTTCCTTACTGACCTCCATGTGTGCTGCAGCTGTCCGCGGCGTCCCCCGACCCGATCACGCAGGGCAACGCGAACTACGACGAGATCCACTACATCAACGCGCTCGCGCCCAACCTCGCCTCCGCGGGCTTCCCCGCGCACTTCATCGTCGACCAGGGCCGCTCGGGCGTGCAGAACATCCGCCAGCAGTGGGGCGACTGGTGCAACGTCAAGGGCGCCGGCTTCGGGCTCCGGCCGACATCGAACACCGGCTACACGCTCGTCGACGCGATCGTGTGGGTCAAGCCCGGAGGAGAGTGCGACGGGACCAGCAACACGTCCGCGACGCGCTACGACTTCCACTGCGGCCTCAGCGACGCCGACCAGCCCGCGCCGGAGGCCGGCACGTGGTTCCAGGAGTACTTCACCACGCTCGTGTCCAAGGCCAACCCGTCGTTGTAAAAACGAACAGACCCGTCCGACGCATTATCACTCGTGTATACGTTACGCAGCATTTGAAATAGTCCTAATACACACGCATATAACGATCACGATCGCCAGCCAATCACTTCCGCCACATCAGCAGAGGCTTGAGCCCGGTCTTCGTCTTTGTCAGCGCGCCCACGACTGCGAAAGCAAGAGCAAACAAAAACCATTTGCTCAGCCCGCCTTTGGCAGCAGCGGTGATCGCGGGCGGCGCCTGCGGTCGCGCGGGGAGCTTCACACCCAGCCGAGACTGCAGCATCGCAGCCTTCTTGTCGGTGTACGGCGGGAAGCGGAACGAGAGAAGCTTGTCGATCCTGTGCGGGGCGAGTGAGTTCAGTGAGTTGTCCGGAATACAGAGCAGCGGCGCAGACGAACCAGCCCGGGGTGTCGATCGTGGCCCGGAAATGCGTGAACATGTCAAAGCCCCACTGAGAAACCGTCAGCAAAAGCAGTCCTGCGACGCGCTGGGCCGCTCACTTTGCCAGTGTGGTATCCGCCAGCTGAGCAGTGCATCAGTTGAGATACGGAAACATCACCAGGGGGCACTTACATCCGCTAGGACCGATTCCGCCGAACGGCAGTCCCGTCACTGGTTGTGAATCAACAACAGGTTGCACCAGGGACCCGACAGACACAAACCTCCGGCAATGAGGAGCGTTTCGTTAGCTGCGCAAGATCCACTGGTCGTGTTATCGAACACTGGGATGCCCAGTCAATGCAGGACCAACAGGGTCACAAACGATTGCACCTTTCTGCTTGTAGGCGTCATCCTGGGAGAAGACATACAACGCCAGCGGGTGGTCACTGCCAAACGTCAGCAAAGAACGGCGTGCGACCAGAGAGGACACGTACTTGGCGTTCACATAGGCGATGCCCTCTTCCACCGAATCGATGGGCACGATAGGCAGCAGCGGCCCGAACAGCTCTTCACTCATAAGCGAGTCATCCCACTTGACATCTTTGATGATCGTGGGCGCAATGTACATCTCAGACTCCTTCGTCTGGCCGCCGGCAACGACCGTGCCCTTGCTCGCCGCCAGCAGGCCGCTCACGCGCTTGTACGCGCCCGCGTGGATCATCCTCGACGCATCCTTCGGCACCTCGCCCGTCTTCGTCTCAGGCCAGAACTGCTCGTAGCTGGGGCACATCCGGTCAGTCAGTTGCACGCTCGATATCAAAAAGTAACCCGCGGGCGGCGTGGCTCACTTCTTCTTGAGCGCAGCGATGAAGGCGTCCTGCCCGGAGCGCGGGACCAGCACGTAATCCGGCGCGACACAGGTCTGCCCTGCGTTGGAGAATTTGCCCCACATCACACGCCGGGCGGCGAGATCAAGGTCGCTCGACGGGTCGATGAACACCGGTGATTTCCCACCCAGCTGTTTGTGTTTGACGTCAGCACCTGGTAATTCGACATCTGAGAAGAAGAGACAGTCCACTCGCCTCGAGTGTGATCGGTGTCAGCGTCTGTGCAGCCGCAGATGCCACGACCTTGCCCACCCGGCCGCTCCCTGAGTACTGATTAGAAATGCCCGAAGGCTTGGCGTCGACGAGAGATGATACCGGTGTAAAGAACTGCGAAACGGCGTGTCAGCAAGCGGATTGAAAGTTGTTTAACTACGCACTATGTCCCCAGGGAAGCGCGAGAAGCTGTCGAGATATCAAACCATGCCCGAGGCGTCTCAGTCAGCCCCGTACCTTACTGGTCTCCGGAATGGCGCCATTGACGACAGACACCACCGCGGGCTCGATGTACTTGGGGAACAGCTCCGTCATCAGAGACGCAAAGTGGGGCGCCGCTTCCGAGGGCTTGAAAACGACCGTGTTGCCCGCCGCGAGCGCACCCGCCTGAACGCAAGTCAGAATGTGTCTCCCCCCGTCCAGCACCGAACGAGCGCGTGACGCACCAGCGGAGAGATGAGGAGCCAAAGCGGGAAGTTGAAGGGGCTGATGATGAGCACAGCGCCCTTGGGCTGCTTGAGCACGCGCGGGTTCATGAACACGAAGTTGAACGTCATGGGCGGCTTCTCGGGCTTGGCCCAGCTCTCCACGTTATCGTGCGCCTCCATGATCTCGGCGAGGGACGTGTTGATCTCGAGGCTTGAGGAGGCGCACTCAGTGGTGCGTCCCCAGGACGCGACGACGGGAAGGGACGCACATGTAGGTTTCCATCGAGTGTCTGCCCAGGTCCTTCCCGAGCGCATCTACGATGGCTTTCTCGTTGTCCTTGACGAGGTAGGCGAGCTGCAGCAGCAGGTACTTGCGGTACGCAATCGACTTCGTCTTGCCCGTTCTGAACGCAGCGTTGGCGTCTGCGTGGATCTGCGGGGTACCCGTCAGAGCCGGAAAGTCCCTAGAAAGCGGCGGCGATGCCCCACCTGGTCGATCTGGTCGAGCGGAGTGTATGAGAGGTCGGCCATGGTTGTAGGGTGCAGTGGGAGGGAACTGAGCACGCGCCAAGCTAAATAGTAACGGATGACATCAAAATTGCAATCAAATGATGCCAAAACGGACCTGGCTGAGTAGCTCAGTTACTCTAGTCGCTAGCGTGTCCTCGTGACATGCTGTCCGTCGTCAATAGGTAAACAAGGTCCCCCCAGCTCAGTGCGAACTTGTCGGTCACTATCCAAAACCACGTAACTATCCCGGCCACTCAGGAGACGAGTCGGGATCCGTCGGCGCAGCACGTGATCTGCAAGCACCGCGCACATGTGATAGTGATGATCGACGCGCGTGGCATTCCGCCGGCCTCCGGCTGTTTGATCCCCGCCTGGGATCACTCAGCATAACTATCGCTTGGACCGCCTCGCTCTAATTATTTCACGCTCTTGCATATGGGATGAGCTTCACAGCCAGGTACGTCATCTCATGGTACAATGGGGGAACTGGATGTCAACATCCTTTTGTGCGGGAGCTGGTGACTGACAGAAGCGGGTGGGATGGGGGTGGGATGCTTCAGTAAGGAGAACTTGAAAAGGGGACTTTGCAAGTTGCGTTCGGAAGGGCACAGGCGGAGGTGTCTCGAGACGGCTGAGTCAGCGGCAGGCTACGACCCGACGAGTCTCCAGTTTCGGTCGCGCCCGGGCTACCGGATCATTTCGCATGTTGCGCCAACTGCGAGGGCCGTCTTGTCCACTCTAGGCGGACGCCTGCGCACACAATTGTGTGTGCGCGTGTGCGTGTGGATGAGGGTTCTCGGTGCGTGCGAGTGTTGTCCGAATCCAAGACAAGAAGGGGAGATGGAAGACGCTATCCCACAAGAACGGAGTTTTTTGAAAGAGGTTGCATATGACCAGCGTGTGCCCACTGGCGGTCAGGACTTGTGAAGCACGGTGGATATAAAAATCAGGACCCGGCGGTGAACACAACCCAGCCGGGCCTGATCGAGTGAGACCTACCCGTCGCAGCTAGAGCTAAACAGAACCAAGACGAGCCTTCTGATAGATATTTTCGTCTAGTTTTTTTTGTACTATGACTGTCTGTTTCCTTGTTCTCAAAGAGGATGCCCAGCTGCGTCCATCCGGGCTCCAAGCCCGCGCTGCATGCGACGCGCGTCCAAGTTGGGACACAGAAGTACAAGACCAGGGGCGGATCGCCGGCGTCTGATTGCATAGGGCACCATCTATCAGGACGCGGAGAACTGCGCTGATGGCCGCGGCTACAAAAAACAGTGTCGGCCGCATCTGCTGACACCGCCTGGCAGAGCGAAATTCTACTGCTTCGGTCTACAAAATAATCCAGGGACGTCGTGTCAGACCGGGAGAGATTATATGTAGATTTGAATGCACCCCTCACTCACAAGTCAACCAGCATCTTCCGACTCTTCCCAGACCCGCGTCCCGCGTCGCATACTGTAGCGTTCTGATCTGGATCGACAGTTGACAGAGAAGATCAGGATGCGTGTCACATTATGGACTTTCCTGAAACGATAGAAAGGTTCCGCGGGAGCCTGGATTCCGGCACAAGTCTTCTGAGATGACGTCCTGGGTCCCAACGCCGCCCGGTTGAGAGATGAAAAAGCAGGTCGGACATAGTACACAAGTCGCAGAAGCTGCAAATCGTCTTGGTCAGACAATAGGGTGAGAGCGTCTCAGTGTCGGTGGGCACAGTCCCCGGCTGCCGCGCATCCTACTGAGCCTCCAGTGCCCCCAAAAAGAGCACCATTATTCGGGCCGCGCAGAGCCCTGCGCACACGAAGATAGAGTTGCAGGAGCATTCCAGCTCCAAGTGGAACAAAGCAAAGATGATGGAAGACGCTCACAAACAGCACCGACCGAAAAGGCAATCCTTGTTTTCCTCATCAGACTCTTCATCACTGTTCAGACTCTCTGCTCGGCTGCAGCCTCATGGACAGGCTTCCAAGAACGAGATCCTGCGCTCTCGGTTCCTGGGCTATTTACCCGATGGCATAAATACGCGCTGCCAGCGATGCTTATGCTCGCCACCCCCGGTCCCCCCTCCAACGGTCATCATCTCCAGCCATGCACGCCCGGACTCTGCTGCCTCTCCTCTCCGCCTTTGCCGGGCTCTCCCGCGCAGAGCGACCGCAGCACATGGCGCGGGGAGTGCAGACCACGGCCTCCGTCTCCGGCATCCCCGTCTTCCCCGTCATCAACTACGGCCTCCTGTGCGAGCTGTCCTTCCTCGAGGACATCTGCGCCCGCATCCTCGCGCCCAGCCGCCAAGTCGTCACTCCGCTCGGGCTCGCGCAGGGCGTTTCGGACGGCGCGGGCAGCGGAGTGAACCGTTTCGTGGTCAAGTACGCATCGGCATCGCGGTGGGCCGCACCGACCGTGGCTACCCAGTGGCAGCTTCCGTACGTCCCCCGTCGTAGTCGCAGCACCCTCGTGCGCGCTTCTCACCGAGATGCCCAGGAATGGATCGCACAATGCGTCGGCCCTCCCGCTCGCGTGCCCGCAGGACAACGTCGACCCCTCGTCCTACACGGAGGACTGCCTGTCCATCATCCTCTTCGTGCCGACCGCGCTGCTGCCCTCCAGCAACGTTCCCACGCTCATGTGGATCCACGGCGGATCCTTCATTACCGGGTCGGCCACCAACCCCGGTCTCGACGGCTCCAAGTTGGCTGTTGCGACCAACTCGATCGTCGCTGTGATTCAGTACCGTCTGGGCGCGGTGAGTGGCCGCGATCCTTGCATGTGTTGTCCCCGCGAATCTTATTTTGTCGCCTGCAGCTTGGTTTCATGGCCCCCAGCGGCGCGACTAATCTCGGGCTGCAGGACACGATCGCCGCGATGAAGTTCTTGGCTAAGGTCGTGCCCTCATTCGGCGGAAACGCGAAAAAGATCACCGTTGCCGGACAGAGCAGTGGCGCTGGCATGATCCGGGCGCTGCTGGCGACTCCGTCGGCTTCGTCACTGTTCCAGAGCGCGATTCTGCAGTCGGATCCCATGGTGCGCCCCACTTCCATGATTGATGAAACTATTCATCTGACCGCCGCTCCAGAACTACGGGTTCCTGAACGCGTCGACGCAAACGTTGCTGCAGCAGACGTACAACAGCCTGATCAACTGCTCGCCGACCGACGTCCAATGCCAGAACGCACTTGCTATCCAGGACATATTGGATGCGCAGGACACGCTCTCAAGCGAGTCCGTCGTGCTCGATGCGTCCACGGGCATAGCCGAGCCGATCCGCCCTGTGCGAGACGGCGCGCTGATCACGACCCCGCTGGACTCCACCGCGCCGTTCCCCGCGGTGACCAAGCCGATCCTGCTGACCAACGTGCGCAACGAGGCGGGCCCGACGATCTACCTCCAGTTCCAGGCCGTCACGCCCGAGGTCGCGTTCCAGCCGACGCTCTCCGCGCTGCTCGGCCCGTCGCGCGCGGCGACGATCGACGCGTCCGGGTTCTACAACACGTCCGTCGACGACGCGCGCCAGCCGCTCGAGAGCATGGGCACGGACTACATGTGGCGCTGCCCGACGTGGACGTTCGCGCGCAACTGGGTCGGCCACGGCGGGAAGGCGTTCGTCGGGCTGTACATGACCGGCGCGACGTACCCGTTCAACGCCGACGTCCCGTTCTGCCTCGAGCCGGGCTCCGTCTGCCACCAGGACGACATCGAGATCGTCTTCGGCACTGTGCCGAGCCCGTCCCCCGCCCAGGCCGCGCTGACCGCCGAGATGCAGGCCCGGTACAAGGCATTCTTGAACACCGGCTCGCCGAACGTCAAGGGCCTGATGCCATGGACCGCAGCGACGACCGGCAGCGTGCATGCGCACCAGCTGGGCGGCCTGCCCTCCCCCAGCGGCGAGATTCCCCCCGGGGCGTGCGACCCCGCCTTTTGGGGCGCCGCTGTCCCTTACGACTACCAGGTCTTTGGAATCTAATCCCTTATCTTGTAGCTTATATTCAATAAACCCTCCCGCGTGACTCCTTTTTGTAGCATAGCTTCCTTGTAGCCTGCATCTCGCCAGTATCCTAATAATCGTTGTTGTTTCTTAGCATCTGCGTGATCAGTTGATAAAGTCGGGTTGGGAACGAATGGCTGATTTTCAAGGCGCAGGAGGTTCGTCTCAAGCAGTTGGCGATCGCAAGAGCTATGAGCAAGAAAGCAGGTTCTGTAAGTATGGCTAGAATACACATGTACATTGGATGACACAAGATTTCTACATCTCCAATTTGGCGACACTGCTGGACACGAAGCCGAAAGTGCTGAGTGTGGAGACCGCTGCAAAATCTCGGTTACCCAGGTCCCGATCATCAGAAAACAACTTACGAGCTGGAGCAGCGGACACAGTTTTGACGGCAGGCGTTAGGATCTGGGTCGAAGAGTCGTATGACCAGCCGCCGCTCGCAGCAGCTGCACATTTTCAGTGTGAGTGCAGAGGGGCAGCGCGCGATCACAAACACGCACCACTGAGCACCTCGTCGGACGACATCCCAAGATACTTCTCGGCCAATGACAGCGGTAGGCTCATGTATGCTCTCTGCAGGAGTTTGAAGGTCCTCTGGCGGAACGCGTCTAGGGGTTCAATGGTTAGTTTCGCTCGTCGATTGAAGGAGGAAGACACAGTTTGGACAGAGCGGGCTGAGCCCGATAGGTAGCGAGATACTTCCTGCAGTGCAGGGTGCGCTCCCACATAAAGTCAAATGCCTCAAGCATCATAACATGTGAAGTAATGCATCTCCCCTTCGACACTTACTCAAGAATGCAGCGAGCATATTGCTCAACACAGCGCCGAGCGATTGGTCAAGGAAATCCGCCTGTCCCACGAACTCGACTAATTTTTGCGCGCGGGCATACACATTAGTGTGTTTCCTCTCAGACACAGACGCAACGAGTCCAAAAAGCTGGTTGCTGAAGGGAGCGGATTGGAGTGCAGCAGGGAGGCGTATGAGGGCACAGCGCGCGGGTGGACTGTCCAGATCCATTCGCACATCAACGGATCGCCGACAAGCAAGATCGACGGACGGGCACGCACATATCATCGTTGATGAGATAGGCCAGGACGAGTGGCGCAGTCAGGAAGAATCGGGTCGCCTGTCGCTCGTCCTCCGACTGTATGAGTTCATCAGTCAAAGCAGGAGAGATGCCACCACCACCACCACCCCACGCGGCGGCTGCACGCACGCACGCACCGAGCTATCGTGTGCCTCTGCCGTGCGTATGAGCGCACTGTAGTCCCCCTCGGTAGCGAAGCTCGCGATCTGCGGAAAGAGGCGAGTGAACGCGTCGGGTGTGAGCGATGCCGCTGATGCCGCGGTCGACGCAGAGTCTGCTGGGGCGGGGGAGCCGACTGTGCGCGCCGCGTCCTCGATCTCCGTTTCTGTTGACGGCGGCGGGGTGAGTGGACCCGAGGACATGGTGATGGAGGGAAGAGAGACGGAGTTGCGTCGGTGGATGTGCCGGCGGCAACTTCGATCAATCCGATCATTGGGCACACTGCTGCTGCTTGACAAGTCACCACCCACCACCACCTCTAAGTACCATCTACGTATTCCACGCCTATTCGAACCCATGGACGACGAGATCGAGTCAATCCTATTCATCGGCCGGGAAGTCTCGGGTGCTTATCCTCACTGGTGGTGGTTCTCGTCCGATCTGGGAACTGAAGTGGCTGTTGGCTAGTCTTCAAGATCCCCCCTCTCAAAGCGAATGAAGGGCATCGCGCCGGCGAATGGGGTGACCTTGCTACGCCGCTTTGGAAAGGTCGGAATGGACAAAGTGTGTGTTTGTCGGCCCTCTGATGCCCTCACTCAGGTCGCATCCGAATAATCGAGAAGTCCGCGGGCGCCACGCTCATGTTCGAGGATCCACAAACTGGTATGTCAGGCGCTCGGATCCAAGCACTACTTTAATCTCAGCGTACAGGGGAACGTGAGATTGTAACCATCTGACTCTGTGGCGACGCTCATGGACGGCAGTATTCGCCAAGGCGGATTACGATATCGCAAAGCCCTGCGTTGAAGCAGTACTCGATTCCTCCCGATACTTTGTCGTCCGTGTCGAAGACTCAGGGAGAAAGGCGTACATTGGGATGGGTTTCCAAGAGCGGACGGACAGCTTCGACTTCAGTACGCCGCTCCCCCATGCCTTGACGCTCGAGCTGACCTCTGTCACCAGACGTCGCTCTGCAGGACTACACCAAGTGCGTCTCCTCCTCACGCCCAGAATGACGCTGACACCATACCTGCCCTAGACGTCGCAAAGCAGCTCTCAATCCCCCAACACCGGATGACGAACAACCCTCTCCGCACATCCCAACAGGCCCCAAGAAAGACTACAGCCTGAAGGAAGGCCAGACGTTCTCCATCGCCATCCCCGGGCGAGGAAACAGGTCATCCGCTACCAGCACGGCCAGCACAGCCTCGAACCTTCTTGGCGACATGAGTAGCCTGGGGGGCTCCAGTACTTCGAGCACATCGAGTTCGGGAGGCGGTGTCCCGTTGCTGCCTCCGCCGCCTAGCTCAGGACGCAGACGTGGTTGAACGGTGACGTGTAATATTTACCTTCCTTACATCCTGATTGTCGAATGCTATGAAATGACCTACAAGAAATGCTATGGAATTGACCTAACCACATCGAAAGGCATGAAAGACACTTGCATGGGGATAATGAATGTGACGGTCTCACTCTTTTCCGTTGACTCGGATACCTCGTCTCTCAGCCGTGTGATAATCGGGTCTGATCGTTACATACCGATTCTCAGCGTGTGTTTACATCCGGGATCGAACGTCCAGATGGATCCAGCGGCCCATTGTCTGTGATACGATATGAGGACCTCTACAAGAAGTGCACAAAGCGTGGCAAGCATTAAACTTTTGTCACAGTCGCGTCCTGTCACCCGTGACAGAGAATCCTAGCTCATTCACAATCGTAGGCACAACTACGGTACAAATACAGAGCACCTGATACCCGAAAAGTCTAGACAACACAGTACCCTCCGTCGACACGTATCTCTGAGCCAGTCATGAACTTGGATGCGTCGCTGCACAGGTAGATAATGGCGCCCTAATTCAACCTCAGACTCGTCCTGTCGAGAATTTAGGATAGGACTTACGGATAGATCTTCCGGTTCTCCCATCTCGACAAATATCAGCGGCCATGCAAGGAGAGCTGATCACCAGATGGCTTACCCGGCCCATAGGTGTCAGCCCTTCCCACGTTTTCTGTACATAATCATGAGATCACCCAGAAAACCGGAGCGCGCGCGCGCACCTTGAGCTCCTGGTCACTCTCAAGGATTGTTCTCGTGAGCTTGGTCAGCATGTATCCCGGGCTGAGAGTGTTGACGCGGATGCCCTTGGTCGCCCACTCGACAGCCAGGCTCGACGCCATGTGTTTGACCGCGGCCTTGGACGCATTGTACGGTGTCTGCAGCTGTGGGATATTCACGATCTTCCGCGCAAGGGGCATAAGCACGGCGCAGTGCGGAAATCAGCGCGCACTCACGTTAGCACTCATACTGGCTATGAGCACGATCGACCCGCCGCCGGAGGGTATCATGTGCCGCGCAGCTTCGCGCGCCGTGAAGAACGACCCGTGCACGTTGATATCGTACAGCCGCCGAATGCGGTCTGCGGGATAGCTGCAAAGCCGGCGTCAGCACCGCCCACGCATTCGACGACTGGGCCCACTGCGTACTCGAAAGCAGAGTAGTTCTCGACGATTCCAGCGGACGCGACCACCGCGTCTATGCGCCCATATGCAGCCATCACCTCCGCGAACGCAGCAGTGACGGATTCCTCGGACGAGACATCGCACCCGATCCCGACCATCTTGAGCGCGTCCGGCGTTGCTGACGCATCGTCTTTGTCTAATGGGGACAGGCGCCGTGGCCATCAGGGAGTGTGGGGTAGACCGCGTAAGAAGTGCGGGGTACTGCACGATGACGTACGGTCGGTCCGCGCAAGTGCCTCTAATTCGGCTGCCGCGGCCTTGGCCTCCTCCGCCTTCAAGTCGACCACGGCGATGGTCGTGCATCCGCTGTGTGCACACGTCAGTGTCGCCGGGGCGTCGCTGTGATTCGGGCACGACTCAACGATTGCACGAAAGCTTTGCAGAACTCGAGCCCCAGACCCCGTGCGGCGCCCGTCACGACGCAGACCTGCGAAAGGGTGTCCAGTTTCCATTTCCCGAGCCACCGGGGGAGAGAGACGGCTGCGGACCTTGCCCTGCATCGAGAACATCGGGTGCGCTTTGGAGTGTATGCGCGGTGCAGCATCCGCATTGAGCGTACCAGAACTGTAGGAATTGCACCCAGCACGGAGCGGATGGCGAGGTAGGGAAGGAGAGAGCGGAAGCAGAACTCGTGTCAGCAGCCCTGCATGACGGGGAAGAGTAAATGCACGCAACGAAGCCATAATGCAGTACTAGCAACACTGCAGCCCTCTTATCAGGGAGATGTCTACTCTTGAGGCTTGGCCGGTATTGAATTGGCCCTGTCCTCGGAAAAGCGTGGGTGGGGTCTCTCACTCCATCACGGATTTGCAGACCAGGAAATTTATATGGTCACGGTCGCGTGCGGCGCGGCGACGGTGCGGCCGCTCCGATTACCCTTGTTCATCAGACTCAGAGCGAATCCTTGAAGCACACATTTCTATCGGAAAATATTGAGGCAAAGAAATCTCCATTGAAGCTCAGTACGAGCTTAGTGCGTACACAAGGGAGCTCTTCAAGCAAGAAAGTAATAAGGAGTGCCCGCATGTCGGTCCGGAGATCCGATCTGACAGCGTGTGAATATACTTGTATAGGCATCCTAAGACATAGTGGAGAGATACAGAGTCACAGTGTTACTAGGGTATGAAGCAGGAGAAAACTGCAGCTATTGTAAAACGCTAAGGTACCGGAAACAGATAAGAATACGTGAATGAGCGTGAGCGCCAGCCATAACACTATGGGGCGTGACAGACGTAAGCAACGAGCATGGGATGATGAGAGGAGGGCCCTCGGATAAGCGGTTATAGGCAGGAGAACTTGGATTTCCGCCTCTGCAACTCATCCACGCGCATATCCATCTGCTGTCTCGCCCGCTCCTTGGCCTTCCGCTCCTCATCTAATCGCTGCTCCAACGACTGCTTCTCCTGCACAACGGAATTCCGCACGGACACAACCTCCCGTTTGGCCGTGTCCAGTTCACCCCGGAGCGATTCTAGTTTGCTATTCAGGGTGTCTCGTTCTCTTGCGAGCTCGGTTGCATGCATTCGAGCTTTGCGGACTAGAAACGGGTCAGCAACAAATCCTACCGAAATAAAACAAAAAACAAAAACGCACGATTCTTCTCCGAGTCACCGAGTGACGTCTCCAGGGTGCTGACGAGATCCATGTGCGTCTGGAGATCACTCTCGCAGTGTGTGAGCTGCTTGTTCAGAGTTTTAATCATCACCTCCTGCTCGTCGAGCTGCTTCGCCTGCGCCTCGATCTTAGCGGTCGATTTGGAAGTGTCGACGCTATTCAGAGAGGGTCCGATCGACGTCAAAGGGCTGTCGGGCTGAGAATCTCTCGATGACGACCCATGCGACGATGTGCTATACGTGGCGTCGCCATTCGTTCGAGGTGCTGGAGGTGGCGGGACGGACGGCGGTGGTGTCGGCGGCGGAAGCTTCATTGCTGGCATCGTTGACCTCGAATACGACCGCTCATTGCCCGGTCGCCCATTGGGCGGCGAGGAACTGCGGGCAAGCACCTGCGCCTGCAACTCCCGAATCAGCGACTCGGACTTGCTCTTCTCCGTCTGCAGCACATCCTTCTCGTCCTTGACTCGCTGCAAGTTGTCCTGCATGTCAGCAAGCACCGACTGATGCTGCTCGAGCTCTCGAACGAGTGACTCGCGTTTCGACGCTTCCTGGATCAGAGCAGACTGCTCGTTGCGCGTTCGATCCAGCTCGGCGCGAAGTCGCATCATCTCGGACTCGAAGTGATCCCGTTCAGTTCCAATCTGAGAGTGAGACATCCTCAGCTGCTCCAGCTCGGCCTCGAGGGCCTCGCGAGAAGACGAATGCTCCGATTTGATCTGCTCCAATTCGGATTCGAGCGCGGATGTCCGCGCCTCTGACGCAGCATGCTTGTCTTGCAGAGCAGCCAGATCAGAGTCGAGGACACCCCGGGCAGAGGAGTGTTCCGCCACTTCAGCTTCTAGTGCTGCCGCCCGAGCCTCAGATTCGGAATGCTTGGCTTGCAGCGCCGCCAGATCAGTATCGAGCGCACCCTGCGCAGAAGAATGATCGCTCTTGACTCGCTCCAGTTCCGCTTCCAGCATCGTCACGCGAGCGTCGGATTCGGAATGTTTGAGTTGTAAGGCTGCTATATCGGAATCCAGTGCACCTCGAGAGGACGAGTGCTCGCTCTTGGCTTGATCCAGCTCCGCCCGCAAAGCGGTCAACTGATGCTCTGACTCGAACTGCTTCATCTCAAGCGCTCCGGAGTGATCGCTCTTGGCCTGTTCAAGTTCGGCCTGAAGCGCAGAGACCCTCGCCTCAAACTCGGCACGCTCAGAACCCGCGGCAGACAGCTGGCTTTCCAATCCAGAGACCCGAGCCGTCTTCTCAGCAAGCTCGGCACCCATGGTCGAAAGCTGACTCTCCAGACCAGTTACCCAGCTCGTCTTCTCCGCCAAACTCTGCTCATGCGCAGTCTTCTCCTCGGTCATAGTCCGCTGATGAGCCCGTCTCGTCTGTTCCGAAGCCGACCTGTGAGAGTCGATCTCCTTGGCAAGCAGATCCCGGTCCTTGCGCAAGGTCTCAATCTCCTTGGCGTGATCCAACTTGAGCTGCTCCAAAGTTGCGTTAAGTCGGTTCCGTTCGTCAGAAAGTGCTTGTTCGTGGCGCGTTCTCAACCCCTCCAATGCATCTTGGTGCTGAGTCTGCATCTCAGCGATAGAGTTGTTGAGTTCAGTAATGCTCTCCTCGTGCTGGGTCTTCAGCGAAGCCATCTCGAGGGCATGACTCGCAACCAGAGCAGCCGCGGCTTCTTCAGCCTTGGTCGAGGCAGCACCAAGAGCGGACTTGTGGTCAGCCTCGAGCTTGGCAAGTTCTTGGACATGAGACTGTTCGATGTCGTTCAAAAGTGCAGCTTGACCCTCTTGATGCGATTGGACAGTCTTCTCCAACTCAGAACTCGATCTCGCCGCTGCTTGGCTCGATTCCTCCTTGATGGCAGCCAAAGCGGAATTGAGCTGCTCGGCCTCGACGCGCCACTCCTCTTTCAGCTTGGCCAGGAGCCCATCGTGTGACGACCGCAACTTGTCCATTTCCAGAGCGTGATCTTCCTCCTTGGTGGTCAGCGCGCGACTGTGCTCAGTCTTGAGATCCTTGAGCTCTTCAGCGAATGAGGCCTCCTTCGTGGCAACCGCAGCAGCATGGGCATCTTGCAGCTCTTTCAACGCGAGATCCTTGGACGACTGCGACTCGGATAGCGACCCCTCCCGTGCAATCTCAGCAATCCGTAACTGGCTGGCATGTTCTTCCCGGAGACGATCCAGAGCAGCAGCAGTTTCCGCGGAATGGGTCTCGACCTGTGCGGCATGATCCGCACGGAGTTTCGTCAGAGCATTGTAGTACTCCTCCTCCGTCGTCTGCAAGGCAGCAGAGGCTTGGGCCTCTTTCTGCTTCAGAGCCTCAGCATGCTCGGAAGCTAGCCTGTTCACAGCGCTCTCGTGTTGCTTCTGCACGTCGGCAAGCACCTCGCTCGCAGCAGTTTCGCGTTCTTGCATCTGCTTTGCATGCTGCTGAACCGCTGCGTCGTGGGCGGTACGGGCCTCGTCGAGCTGGGTGGCCAACTGTTCGAGCGCCACTTGGTGGCTTTGCACAGCTTTGTCTAGCGAGTCAACCAGTTCAGCTTCACGCTCCTTGGCTTGCTCAAGAGACGCCACGACGTCGCTGTGCTTCGTCTGCAGTACTTCGATCTCAGTGGACATGTTTGAGGCCTGCAATATATGCGTCAGTGTTGTATGGTAGGCATGCCGAGAATGCTCACGAACCTGGTCACGCGAAAGGGCAGTCAGATCATCATGTTGTCGGCGGACCTGGGCAAGCTGGGTGTTGAGGCTATCAACAATCTCCCGATGTGCAGACTCTTTAGCGGCCATGGATCTGCCACCGGGGTCAGCTTGCTCGCGAGAAAAAAGAACGTCAACCACGCCGGGGACTCACAGCATCAGCTCGTTCAATCGCTCAAGCGACTCGTCCGGCTCAGAAAACACAGAACGGTCGTTTGGATCCGATTCCGAGTCGCTCGTCGCACTCCTCGGTGGTTCGTGGTTCATGATCTTGCGGATATTGTCAAACTGGCTGATGGTCTTGGGGGAAAGATGCAAGTCAGCCAACGTTGGTGACGAGGCAGAACCGGGAGAAGCGACAGGTTCCGTCGCAGCACCCGAGAAGGCCGTGCCATTGGCGGATATGGCAGTAGCGTCGCCGTGCGTTAGCGTCTGCGATTCCTTCAACGACACCTCCAGCACAGCAATCTCCGCTTCCCGCTCCTTCAAAACCTCCTGCAATCTCATGATCTCCTTCTCTAAACTGCTCACCGAACGCTCGTTGAGGCCTGGCGACATGACGGGCGGAGGGAGAGTAATGGATAAATTCGGACGCGAATGCGGAGCCAGGAACGACGAGTAGGAATTTGATGGCGAATGCGAACTACTGGTTGAAAAGGAAGTTTTGCGCGAGTGCGCCGAGGATAGCTCCTGTGATAGCGATTGCGATTGCGAAAGCGACCTTTGCCCATTTGGACGTCAGAGTACGTTCTAGCACCATAAATAGCAGCAAATGCTCACCTCGCATGGAGCGATTCTGCCGAGGCCGCTTGCCGGAAAAAAAGGCGGCGGCCTGCAGAGTTGATTTGAGGCTCGCCCATGGACGATTCACGTGATCGCCCTCCTGTCATACGACGCCGGTATGGCCCAGGCGAGTGGTCCAAGGGCCGTTCAACAGGCGTCTCCACCGTCGTTGGTGACTCTGGGGGCACCGGCTCAGCCGAGGAGCCACTGAGCTTGGCCTCTTGAATCTGTGCGGCGAGATCCGAAATCTCCCGTAGAGCATCCCGATACTTGTCGGTCATGGAGGACAGATCGGCCAATGTCGCAGTATGGGTTTGCTGCAACGCAAGCAGCTGGCGCTCAGCCGCCGAGTTCTCTGGAATCTCTTTCGAGCTTTCGGCGATGACGGCAGGGGAAGGAATGGTCTGTTTCTCCTCCGCATCGCCAGGAACGGCCGATGCCAAAGGTGTCTCTGCATCGTCAGGGGTTGAGGCACCATTCACATGGGGGTGTCCGTTGACGACATTCAGTTCCAAGCTCTTGCGAGCAGTAGCCACTTCATCGACAACAGCCCCCAAGCGAACCCGAGCGTCCGCTGCTTCTTGTTTCCTTGCTTCCCATTCTTGCATCTTCTCCTCCAGTTCACGGACTTTTTTCTCCCGATCTTCCAGATCATGACGCCAATTGTCGCCATCGTTACGTAAAGCTTCCAGTCGAGATTGAAGCTGCTGAACCTCGTCACGGCGACGGTCGCATTCCGACTCGAGCTTCTCGATCGTCTGCTGCAGTGCGAGCACCGATTCATCCGTGCGCGCAAGTCTGGCCTCCAAATCGGCGATGTATTTGGCGGAGTGCGCTTCGGAATCGCGATAGCGGATGACCTCTCGTTTCAGATCAGTCATGGATTCACTGGAGGTGATCGAAGTCTCGTCGTAAGACTTCATCTTCTCCTCCAGATCTCGCACATAAGCCTATGTCAAATCAGACAATGAACCAATTTGATGGTGGCACCACACACCTCAGTCGAAGCTTCCCGTTCCGTCAACTTAGCTACCCGAGCTCGCAACTCCTCAACGTAAAGTTCTGTAGCAGAATGACGTTCCGTAATGGCAGAGAGTTCATCTTCCTTCTCTTCGACCATCTCATTGGTATGGCGCAACGCAGCACGATTCAGAGTCAATTCGGCCTCCATCGCCGAGATGGTCTTCTCGTATTCCTCAATGACCGGCCCAACGATCTCCTCGTACTTGCCAGTGCCAGGGATGGCTCCACCCGTGCTGCCGCGGTGTCTTTCGCCCAACTCCCGACGGAGTCGTGTCAGTTCCTCGGTTCGCTCAACGAACTTCTCTCGCAGATCTTCGTAGTTGTTCTGCAGCTCGGTCATCTGCGCCAACACCTTCTTTCCTGCACCTTCGACTGCGTTGGATTCCGGTGCAGCGACAGGGATAGAGATGGAGCCTCCGTCCTTAAGCGACTTGAGCTCTGTTCGCAGTCGCCGCACAGTACCCTGGAGCCATTCGACGTCGTCCCACCCATCTTCCTTCGCATTCACGACGGCGTTGTTCTTGATGTTCCGCGCCCGATTAGCGTATTTCAAGGTGTTGATCGTTTCGTTTGCGTTCCACTCCGCTGGGCTCACACAAGCAATCATTAAGGTATGCGCGTTGCCGCCGAGAGAGTCTTGCAGCAGCCGAGTAAGCTTCGAGTCTCGGTACGGGACGTGTGACATGTGCGTTTTCGCCCGCGACGGGTCGCCCAGGGCCGAGATGACATTGCCCAAAGCGAGCAGTCCGCTGTTGATGGAGATGCCCTCCTTGACACGTTCTCCAGCAGCTGCTGTGCGTTTGAGCTTCAAGGCGATAAGTGATCGTCAATGAGTGAGACATTGAGCACTCACTCGCTCGGAACCAGCCAAGTCGACAAAGTGGAACTTAGACGTGATGGTGACCCATTCACCATCCCCATCGTCCACGCTCGCTCGTTCAGTGTTGTGGCCCATGGCACTTGAGGGTCGCAGTCCGCTTCCGCGATTCATTGCAGAGGCGAAACTAGGAGTGGACGGACGTCCGCCTGTGGGGGATGCGACACGACTTGAGGGACCACCAGCGTACATAGAGCCTGGTCGGGCGAGCCGGGACGGAGAGCGGCCATTGGCGGGTAGAGGTGAAGAAGATCGTGGCGGAGGACCTGAACCGGCGAACTTTTTCTGGATGAGAGTGAGGGAGAAGATGGCATGTGAACGGGATGATTGAGCATTCATATCCGTCTCGTTGGTGCGTCGGATGGATGAACCTTTTCGAATGAGCCTGGAAATCATTGAGCGTGAGACATGATTATGACCCAACAGCTTATGGGACGCACGTAAGGACTTCTGCAGGATTTTTTACTGTCACCTCTCGCAGACCACCCCAGATGATGTGACCATCCTTGTCCTCCCGAATTTGGACCTCCCGCCGCACGCCGCCATTGTCGTCGACAAGAAGGTCGATGAGGTCCTCATTGTAGATTTCGATGAAAGACGCCTTGATAGTATATGTCCAAGCGCCAGCACGGTCTTCCCTGAGCTGCCTGGCCGAGGTAAAGATCGTAGAGACTGAGCGGGGGATGATTCCCATCCCGTTGTTGGGATCTGAGGGGTCGCTGTCCAAGTCGATACCGGTCATGGTGTGCGTCTTGCCGCTACTCGTCTGGCCATATGCCAGGATAGTACAGTTGAACCCTTCGAGAAAGCGAGATATCATCGGGTAGGCGGTCGACACGAACATCTCATGTTGCGTCGTTGGTGGGCCGTGGACCATGTCAAAGGAGAAGACCTGCTTTTTGCCCGCCGCTGCTGCTGAGGCTGCGGAGACTGCAGGGGAGGGTCCCCCATTAGGTGGTCCAGATGTCGGGTCTACGGATACGGAGGTGGAGGAGGTTGCATGGAGTACGGAGCGCTGGAATCGACTGGGGATGGAGGTCGAGTCTTGATTGGTAGGGGGTCTTATCCGGAGGGCTTGAGAGCAGTTAGCACGATGGTCTAAGAGTAGCCTCGGTGGGGTTCTTACCGACTTGGACCGAAGTCGCCGCCCCAGACGACGACGAGGGTGCCATGACCGTTGCAAACGATGCACAAGGCGGTGACTGTCACGCTGTCACGGCCGCCGCGGAAATTGCCCAAGCTGATGGGATATGTTCGGAACGCGAAGTCAGCCGGTTTACCGTTCCTTTTGTCTATCAGACAGCAAGAGCGACACCTGGATGGCACTCCACTTGCAAGCTAATCATGGAAGGCTCTGACAGCGGGCTGCCACACGCTTAGAACTATTGCTTGCCCTTGGGCGCCTATTTTCCAACATTTTTTCTCTTATGTACGATTGGTCAGCTTTCGACATCAGCTTGCGGTTAATCGTCTATCCAGCCGTCCTCAGTAAGCTAAGCGATCGAAGCTGAGAAGAAAAAGAGTGCCCCAACTCCAGCGTTCCCACGTGCGCTCAATGACGGACTGGGAATCGATTTCTACAGTGGGCCGGAATCAGGCGAACCTCAACTCTATCGTGACGAAAGTGTGAGCAAAGTATGCATTAATTTTAAAGGTTTATGAGCCCTCGGAGGTCTCTGAGCTAGGCAAATTTCTAACAACCTTGTGCCAATCCTGTCGAACCTCAGTAAGTATTGTGACCCTCACAAATTGTTCGCCATCCAGAACCTTGGTGTGATGGAGAGATCCGAGGTCGTCCATGCTTGCGATGTGCACCATGTAGCGAGCGAGTTTGACCAGCTCGCGATCTGCCAGAGCTTCGCGTGTATGCGCGCCACGGAAGGCGGATATCTTCAAGCCGTTTTGGGGATTCAGTGCAAAATTTCTGCTCTTGACCAGGATGAGCACATTGCTAGATAAATGAGGATTCTACGTACGAGATCATCAATGTGAATGGTATTCGAGGAATCACTGCAAAGAAGGTCAGCAGCGATGAGTGCCAGGACTATGGCACACACAATTGAGGGAAATGGTTCCAGATGATTTGGAGCGCCTTGACTGAATGAGACCAGGGTTTGCCATCTCGTTGGCTGAAGACTGTAAACATCGGGGTTTTGTCGAGCACTGGATCGTGTGAGGAGTGACGGGACACAGAGACAACTAGCATAGGTGCGTACCGAAAGAGATCTGCAAGCTCTGCAGTAAGAACCATTGCCACTGCATTCAAAAGCACGAACCTGATACCCCCGATGGGAACCTACCATTCCCAGCTCTACCAGTTTCGTTTCCAGCCAGATCCAACTCGTCTGCGACCTGCGCGTGCATCAGTTAACTCCATCCCACCAACCGATGTTACCCAAGTACCATATGCAGACTGTGGTTTAGATTTTAGAGATCGAAATAAGAACCAGTCCTTCACTCACTATCGTAATGGGGATAAACGGCCTCGAGAAACTCGTGAAGGTGTGGTCTGGCACATTCGGAGGGAGGAAGACTTCCGCTTGTCAAGGGCTTCGTGTCCAGAATCGCTGCATAGTTCCCTGTCAGCAGAAGAGGGTGACGCTTCGAACTCACTGTAGTCGATATCGAGAACGAGCAACTTCTTTCCTTCTCGGACCGGATGTATAACGTTCACAGTGAGTGCAGACGTTGCTTCCTGAACTTTGCGCACATTCCGCGGGTCGTTATGATAGGCTTTATAAAGCTTGGGATCTTCTGGATCGAGATCAATGTTGTTGACGATGTCGGCCAACAATTCAAGCTCTGGTGAACGAATGGCTCAGTGAGAGGACACGGTGTGTTTATCGGCCGGTCAGACGAACTGGAAGGCTCTTTCGAGTACGTTGAGCAAAGGGAAAGATGAAGTCTGGAAGAGCGCACCCTTGATTTCATCTCCCTCGGGTGTCCCAATGAGTGTAAACTTCTTAGCTGGAGTCCACTTCGACTGCAAATCTCCACTAGAGCAACGGGGAGTCAGCCAGTCGCGACATTCCCGGACAATCTCGCGCCTACATCCTCTCTTGGTCTCTGGGAATCTTGTTCCCTTTGAATAGCCCTAGAATCTTTTGCCTCTCCGTTGGGATCTGGGTCAGATGGTGCAAAGCAGCCTTAAGGTCGAAAACTCTGGGCGGGGGTCAGCACGCGTGCACAACAGACATTATGAGTCGACACACCTGTCCGACTCGGCAATTCTCAGGCTGTAGGGCTTCCCAGCCCAAGCGAAGCTGAGGTCAATCCAGGTTTCAATCTGGGGAGATAGGAGCGATGATCAGGCCTCGGAGTCTTGACACAAGGAGTCGCGGTTTTCGACCGTGCGGACGCACCTCCGCCTGGAACGTGATTGGCGGTGTGCTTATTACAGCAGTGCTGGTGCTCGCCGTGGGGTCAACTTCCATGATGGGAGTAGTTAGCAGACGCGTCTTGTATCCCACATTGGCCAAATGGGGAATTGATCTGGATGCCACGTGGGGAGCGTCAGTCAAGTTGGAGTTGTAATTGAAGTAAACTGTAGCGGCAGAAGTTGCGCTTGACAAGTATTGAATGTTGAATATTGACTTTTAAAATTGGGCTTTGACGCACTCAGTCATTGCCGGTTGGTTAACCTACCAGATTGGTACTGGGTGTATGCACAGTCCTTCTCTGTTTTAGACCCGAAATGAGACTATTTTGATCCTAGGGATCCGAAAAGTGTAGTGCAACGCGGATCTCAATCGCATGGTCTATAATCGATTTTGGACGTTGTTGTACCTACAATTTGACTGGTAGTGTTTACTAAGAGGCTTATCTGATAATCTGACTCGGACGCTAGTTGCTCAGTCAGAGCAGACACGTGATACAATTGGCATCGAAAACATCTCATTCTCTCCCAACTTGCATAGACCAATGCTGTCCGCTGTTACTCGAACCGCCGTCAGGAGAACGAGCGCCAGGGCTCCGGTGCTGGCTGCGGGTGCGCGACGAGGCCTTGCTCAACCCTCCGGGGCAGACCGGGCAAGCGTAGTCGATCTACCTTCGACTTATGCCGATGAGAGTCACTTTTCGCCCCGAGCTGGTACGTACTCTAGAAAGTCCTCCGGGTCACTCCAACTGAATTCTCCAGATATGCTTGGCTTCAAGCTCGAGATGCCCACCAGAGAGGGCTCCACTGACACGGTGCGGCCCATCTACTTGGACATGCAGGTGCGCCTTTCTTTGCCACTTACATGTTCCGAGTTGCTTATTGAGTGTAGGCAACCACTCCTGTTGATCCTCGAGTGCTCGACGCGATGCTGCCGTACCTTACCGATCAATATGGCAACCCCCACAGCCGGACTCATGCCTATGGCTGGGAGGCCGAACACGCAGTAGAAGATGCCCGAAAGGTAAGTGCGATACAAAGCTCGTCTCGAGCTCACTTGTGAATTATCCTCCACTCAGCATATCGCCGACCTCATTGGCGCCGACCCCAAAGACATCATCTTCACGTCTGGCGCCACCGAATCCAACAACATGTCGATTAAAGGAGTCGCACGCTTTCACAAGGAGAAGAAACGGCATATCATTACGACACAAACGGTGAGCGAAGCTTATACCTCCAGCGACCATGTTCATTCTAACTCATATTGGACAGGAACATAAATGTGTCCTTGATTCGTGCCGCAAGCTCAGCGAAGAGGGATTCGACATCACGTATCTCCCGGTCCAGACCAATGGTATCATCTCCTTGGAAGAGTTGGAGGCCGCCATTCGTCCGGACACTGCGCTCGTCTCGATTATGACCGTGAACAACGAGACCGGTGTCATCCAGCCGATCAAGGAGATTGGGGCGTTGATTCGAAAGCATCGCGGAGTTTACTTTCACACCGATGCTGCCCAGGCGGTTGGCAAGATTCCCTTGGATGTGAACGAGATGAACATTGATCTTATGAGTCTCTCGGGACACAAGATCTATGGGCCCAAGGGTGTTGGTGCGGCCTACGTCCGTCGGAGGCCCCGTGTCCGACTAGAGCCGATCATCAGCGGAGGTGGACAGGAACGAGGTCTGAGAAGCGGAACGCTGTCGACATTCCTGGCCGTTGGGATGGGTGAAGCTGCCCGTATATCGAAGTTGGAGATGGCGGTGAGTGACTTCTCCGCTGCTCAGGGATGATGAGAACCGCACGCAAACGAACTTTGTGGAGAAATGCATTCATTCATTTGTCTGCAACTCCAGCTCAGTGATGACTGCGCGTGCAGGGGTACTGACCGACATCGACATGTTGCATTGCCGACTCTGAACTAACAATCTTTCCAGCGCGACCACCAGCGCATTTCTGAGTTGTCCAACCGTTTGATCAACAAGATCAATGCTCAAGTGGAACAAGTTGTTCGCAACGGTGATGTGAACGGCTATCCTGGCTGCGTGAACTTGAGCTTCTCGTATGTGGAAGGAGAAAGTCTTTTGATGGCATTGAAGGTCAGGCCGCTCGCTCCATCATTCCAAAATTGTTATTGACCTCCAACAGGACATTGCCTTGTCGTCTGGAAGTGCTTGCACCTCCGCGTCCCTCGAACCATCTTACGTTCTCCGAGCTCTAGGTATCTCACATTTCTCCCTCAAATTCGATTGTGTCCTGACACCTTTCCAGGCGCTGCTGAGGACATGGCCCATTCCTCGCTTCGGTTTGGTATCGGGCGCTTCACGACCGAGGCTGAGGTTGACTTTGTGGTGGATCGCATCGTTAAAACCGTACAGAAGTTGCGAGACATGAGGTGCGTCTTACTCTCAGAAACCGCGCACAACGCTAACGTCCACGTAGTCCTCTCTGGGAGATGGTGCAGGAAGGCATTGATATCAACACAATCGACTGGTCGCAGTCCCAGCACTAACTGACATATGTTCTCGAACTTTTTTCAAAAATGTACACTAGCCCTTTAGAATCCCTTGGTATATTATGCACTCAACTTATTTGCCGCGCTGAATGACGCCGCACGGACCACTGATGGTGTGGGCGCTACGCCATCAACGAATGATCAAAATTTCAATCTCCGCCTCCTCCTTCGTTGTCATCCTTTTGAGGCAACCAGCATGTCTCGTCGTCTCTACCTTGGCAGTAAGGCTCTCATTTCACAGCCCACGACTTCAGTTAATCTTGACTTGCCAGGGCTTGCGCCCGACACTCGTCCCGAGGATGTGAAGACGTTTTTCGACGGTATGGGAGCTATCGTCGACTGCCGCGTCATGACGGGTATTTTGGCTTCTCCTGGGTTTTACAGCGCAGACTCTGACGTGACTGTCGACAGGTTTCGGTTTTGTTGAGTTTGAGAACGCCAAGGTTGGTGCGGCTGCGCTGTTGGGCAAACGGGAGACCGAAATTGTTGTAGGATGCCGATGATGCGGTGAACAATTACAATGGAAAAACCCTTATGGGACAAAGGTATGCTGGCCCTTTCCGTTTTCCTCCAAGTTAATGTTCATACCCGTGTAGTATCGTCGTCGAGTTTGCTAAGGAAAGCCGTCCTCGTCGTGAGTTCGATGACAGAGGCAGGTAAGTTGACGAGATTATTTTTTGGACATATTCTGATTTTCTGTTGTCTATCAGCAGCTCTTCTCGCTCTCGTCGGCCCCCTGGGCACCGCATCATCGTTTCGGGCATCTCTCGTGATACCAGCTGGCAGGTGCGATTCGGATTTCACCTATCGTCCCACTCCTCCGCGCGGTCCTGGCTCGGGCTTTCGTCGTAAATGGTCGTTCGATTCGCTTCATTCCCTCGGGCTCTTCCTTGTCTCCTTCCTTTCTACGATTGGCGATGGCTGCATTCGTACAACGGGTCGGGTCGCGCGTTTTTCTCCGGATTCGATTACATAGCCATGGACGGACCCTGATGTTGCCCTTGCGCTCCTAGGACCTGAAGGACTTTGGACGCGAGGTTGGCAATGTGTCATTCGCAGATGTCGATCGAGACTACCGCGACCAAGGGTGAGTAATCGGGAAAGCGGTGTTGTTTAGTATGAATTCTGATACCCGGATGCAGTGTTCTTGAGTATATTGCACGAGAAGATGCGGAGCATGCCGTGAAAGAGTTGGATGGCAAAGATCTCCGTGGTCGCGCTGTTCGCGTGTCTCTGGACAATTCGGTACGCTCCACTGCCTTGACTCACTCATTGCCTTGTATACTAATAGAACACCCAGCGCTCCGGTCCGGATAACTACCACCGCAGCGACCGTCGGGATGATCGGGACCGTGGCGATCGCTACGACCGCGACCGCCGTGATGATCGTCGGGACGACCGGGATCGGGACCGCTACCGAGATGGCGACCGTGACCGTTACAGAGACCGAGATGACAGGCGTCGTGACCGTGATCGCTCGCGTTCTCCTCGTCGTGAGAGAGACGATGAGCGTCGTAGGTCTCCCCGCCGCGACCACGACGATAAAAGAGCTCCTGGGTGCGCACCATATCTTCCTGCCGCTGCAAGTCAAGCTGACGGGTCTTTTAGAGATAAAGAAGACAGAAGACGAGATGAAGAACCCAGGAACGGAGATTGGCCTCGTTAAGGGAAAAAAAAGTTGTGGTCTGGAACGCCCTGAAAAGTCCGAATTGGAAAGGCGCTTGCAATGTTCCCAAATGTCTCCCTGTCTTCTTTCTCTCTCCAAGTTCTCTGTCACTCGCTGTCTTTTCTCTGCCTGTCTCCCCGAAAATGGTGTTTCTGTACCCTGCTCTGTATCCATTGGATCTCGTGGACTTGCGGAACGCACAAGTATCTATCTCCGTCAAACGCACCTGCCATGACATGCACCGAGGTAGGTTTGTTCCCGCGTACGGTACTGTTCATACTTTTGTGCAGAAAGAGGATTCTGTTCTATGATTCGATCACAAATCTCAGAACAGAGCCGTTCTCTATCCCCAACCAAGCCAAATCCTGTGAATCGCGATCGCTTTCGAGTAGCGTGAATGAATTGTGGTCCATCCGCAGCCAAAGAGTAATTCTTGTGTGATTTGGACTGTGCTTGAGTGTTTTGAGAATCTTGGATCTGAGGGCGCCGAGGCTCATGGACGGCAACGCCCGAAGTTTGACTGTTGCGGATGCGTCAGGGGGATCGTCTGGTGACCCCTTGAACAGTTCGAGCTCTGGGTCTGCCGTTAGAAAGTGACGCGGATCGTGACTTGGTGGTGACTGGTGCTCACCCACGAGACGCTTGCTCAGCTTGTCTTGTTTCTGTCCGACGTCGGGTTCCTCCGGTCGGCCGTGTTCTGAATACAACGAGTAAGCTGCCTGACAAGATGTTGACGAAAGCTGTTACTCTGGCAAAGCTCGTCCCACCGCGGATGCAATCTGGTCCTGTCAGCGTCGGATGTGCTCCGAGCAATGTGCGATAGATACATGAGCTCGCAGTCTGTGCGTTCTTGTGGGGAGATCTTCAACGAGACTGAGCTGAGGTGCCTGAACAACATGAATGTGGACCTACGTGGGCGGCATCGAGAGTCACGAGAGACGAAATCCGCGCAATGACGAAGTGACGGACTCCCAACTGAGCTGGTCCAGGTTCTGTGATTCAATTAGAATAGAGTTCACTTGGCCTTTTTCGTGATTCACCATTGAACAGCGGGTTGCCCGCTAACGTCAGACTCTCGAGTGCTGGGCACCAAAGGGGGAGGGCGTCAATGTTGCGCCAAGAGCTGAGAAGATTGTAGGATAGAGATAGGTGTCTGATTGCCAGGCGTCTTTGTGCTGGAAGTGGAATCTCCTCAATTCTATTCGTGGTCAATACGAGACGGTCTAGCCTGCAATGGAAAGGTGAAAGTCAGTGCAAGAATCGGAGGCTATGCTCGGGACTCACGATGGATAGGCTGAGAGGGTGTCACAGATCTGAGTCCACTGCTTGAGCTGATTGCTGTCCAGATTGACAGTCTCCAGAGCAGGATGCCCCTCGGCATTGGACACATCTGAGATGAGATTGTAACCTAGTTCAACTGCCTTCAGGACAGGCATGCATCGAACAAGTTGCTGCATCTCTTGCCATGTAGTGAGAGTTCCGTTAAGCCGCAATTCGATCAGATTGAGGAACGCGCAGTCCGCTGATAGGATATCAGTCCAGATGGAAAGGCGGTTACGACTGTTATGGACATCAGCTGACTGCTTGCAAGACAGCGAGAAACTTCGGACTTGAGTGCTAGTCTTTGGAGACTTGGCATTCCAGTACAGATCGACGCGATTACATTCCATTCTGGGATGAGGCTTTGAGAGAGATCGAGACCGCGGACACCTGTGCTGAGATGTCAGAAGTAGTATGAAACTTCCAAGCGGGCTCACTGGGGCAGGTTGTGCGGATTGTCTCAGGATCTTCATCCAAGCGTGCCACAAGCTCATTGTCCAAGCTGATCTCCCTCAGTCGGTCGAGATGCGAGAATTTCTCCCGGATCTTATCGAGATCCACTGCCTCAACTTCGATGGCTCCGTTGGAAGAGCCCAGAAGGACTTTCTCCAGCTGGGAAGATGCGGCGCGCGGCAACTCGACATATTTCGCGTAGAGGGCAGAAAGAAATGAGTTTCCGTAGTTGATATTTGCACTCTGCCGGATGAAAGAGCCCGAGTTCGGTATTCTGAAGATATCTTCTAGAGACCATGCGCATATCTGTCGACCTTGTGCGCGTACCGACAGCTAAAGTATCGTTTGCCGTCCTTCACGCCATCGTGTTTACCGCGCTTCGGATCGTCCCATTCCACTCCAAGCCATATTCCGGTAGTATCATCGACCGGCCAGCATATCTGATGGTGCCTATGCTGTCGTGAAGCTTAAATCGCGCGCCGACGCTTGGGACGACATGGGTGGCCATAACAGGCAGCAGCAGGAATAAGTGTCACGCGCGCGTGACCGGAAGCGACAACAACTTTGCGCTACACCACCTCGTCGGCGATGCTCAGAGCATCGACGCGCCTCATGACTCGTACATCTACGGCACTGAATCGCACCAGAGCCCTTGCTAAACATATGTCCGGAGTCTCCGGCTCGAGCAAGGACATTGAGGTGCGTCTAGAATAACACGCTGTTCTCCACCTGGCTGGATGTCTACAGCCTCTGGTCCGCTTTGAAACGACACAAGGACTGAGAACATATGTACTCAATCGACCGAGCAAGCTCAATGCGCTGAACGAGGAGATGATCAATCTGCTGCGTCCAAAAATTGAGGTACATTCGCATCTTTTCGGCCCGGAGACTTTGTTGTTGACTGAATATAGGAATGGGACGCGGCAGAGCTGTGCAATGTAATTGTGGGGACCGGGAAAGGGCGGGGTTTTTGCGCCGGTGGGGATGTTGAAAGTGGGTCATCGTGCAGTATTTGGAGTAGGATGATTGACAACTTTCGCAGCCGTTGTCAAATTTGCTGCGGAGGACGGGACACGGGACAAGGCCGTCGAGTTTTTTAAGCGGGAGTGAGTGTTCATCAACGACGGAAACGGACCTACGATGAATACCGCGCACAAGATTCGATCTCGACCTCTTTCTAGCATCAATACGCAAACCTTATGTCGCCATCCTAGATGGTCCCACGAGTAGGCGGTTGCCACTAAGTACTTTGACTCCCTTTGACTCACGCTTCGCTAGTGGGTGGCGGTGTTGGGTTGTCGGCCCCTGCGCCGTTTCGGGTTGCGACCGAGAACACCGTCTTTGCCATGCCCGAGACCAAAATTGGATACTGCCCGGACGTGGGGTCTAGTTACTTCATGTCCCGACTGGACGGAGAGATTGGTACCTACCTTGCTTTGACTGGAGCCACGCTCCAGGGCCGAGCGGTCTTGTGTGTTGCAGTTCGTCTCCCGGGTCACTGACTGATTCGAATGGACGTACACAGTGAGCATGGCTTTGCAACGCATTTCATCCCGGCAAGGCGGCTGCCTCTGCTTCTAGATCGGTTGTCGAACGTTGAAGAACAAGATCACACAACCATTGATCGCACTTTAGAAGAGCTTTCCTCTGAGCGCGAAGACAGCGATCCTCCCGCTCCGCTTGTGTCGTCGGTGCGGATAGCGTTGGACTTCGCATTCAGGCACGATCGAGTGGAGCGAATATTGGCGGATCTCGAACAGCTGTCGTCGGATTCGATCCCGGCAGTCAGTCACTGGGCCACACAAACTTTACAACAGCTGCGGGAGCGCAGTCCCACCAGTCTCAAGGTCGCACTGCGGGCCATCCGGCTGGGCAAGACCCAGACCCTGACTGAAGCCTTCAACATGGAGCTCAAGATTGCCACCGCCTACTGCGTGAGTGCGCACGCAGCTGTATTTTCCTAACTTGATATGTTTGTGTCTAGAGCGGGGCCAGTTCGGACTTCGCGACAGGCGTGACGGAACTGTTGGTCAACAAAAGCAAGGAACCACGGCAATGGACTCCGAACAACCTGGAAGATGTCACGGACGAAATCGTGGACCGATTCTTCTCGCCGCACTCTAAATATTTGGCCAAGGCGCCCACCGTCGGACACACTTCCTTTGACAACCGTGGCACGAATGAGCGGACGCTCAGATTTGGTCTTCCGACGGAGCTGGAGATCTCGAGAGTGATTACGGGTGAAGATCCGGACAGTGGGGACATGGGATATACGCTCGATGATCTCATCCAATACTTCCACGAAACCAAAGACGGGAAGATGGGCGTTGAGAAAAAGATTCGCGACGTCGTGTCTCGTAAGACAACCCTGGTGGACAACAACGACGGGAACTATGTCTGGCTGCGTTGGAATCCGTAGTTGCCTCGACTGACCCTTGGCAATGAAGCCCATTTTTCGCTTGTGACCCTTGAGCTCGCTATTAAATACCGTCCACATGGCAATTGAGAGGGGTTCAGTATGTAAGTGCTTTCGCCGGCGGAGTTCTTGAGCGAGAGACTTGCCCCGGACTTTCGCTCTGTAGCAAGAGTTCTGTAACTGCTAGAATGTGCGGAAGATTTGCAGGATAGCAAGCATGCCCGGCGATATACGTGCAGGCCTGTGCAGGCTCGCGGTACAGCACCCGGAATCGTAACAAGATTCCGCACAGATTCCGTGCCGTCGGTGACGTGTGCCTCGATTGATCCGCCGACACAGCCATGAGCTGTCTGATCTCTTCGCAGAGGGTCACGACGGTCACAGCGCATCTGACAACACCAAGTCGCGAATTGCTCCCCGGGGGTGTCGTGCGGTGACGACCAGGGGAGATGCACTGTACGACTAATTGTTTGCGGCAAACCTACATCATTGCTGTTGGTGCCTCGGAACATCCGGAGAAATTGCTTTTTCAGAGAGAGATCTTGTTTCCGCGGCACGCGCGTTTGGATCTCTAGATGGTCCATGGCCAGATCCGGTATGTTGCTGCAGTCTGTCCAAACGTGGTCCATTGCGTCGCTTACCGTCTTCTTGGGCGCCAATCCACGCTCCACCACCGTTTCAGTTTGGGCTAACTCCGGTTGGCAACAACATGAGTAATAGTCTTCCTTGTCTATTCCCTCCCTATATAATGTGGACCTACATTCCCTGGCCTTTGCCCATCCACCCCGTTTCATCCCTCTGTTCATTCTACCATGAACGTCATCGACCTCCTCCCATCCCCGCACTACTACTTCCATTCTGCTCTCTCGTTGGTGCAGAGCGCGCTATCCAGCACTCGCAGGGAAAAAGTTTTGCCCTCGCGAGTCGACTACGACATCGACGAAGACACCGGCTTCCTTCCCCGTCTCCTCCTCCGCGTCTAGCCGGTGCCTATGCATTGTGGGAACACGCGTTGACCGAAGCAGCGACGGAAGTCTATCTGTGGGACGATCAGTCTGAAGACGCGTCGGAAGGGCGCGTCTCATCGGACGCGTGGCGGACGAGGATTCTCTCTGTGAGTCGCTTCACCCTTCAGCCTTATCCATGCTGAACATCTTAGTGGCCTGTGGTTGACACAGAGGCGTTGCACGGAAACATTCGTCGTCTCCAGCGGGCCCATGTGGTACTCGCTTATCTGACGCACTATTATATCCAC